TCTTCATCCACGGCTGTTGAACAGAGAGGGGTCGTTTCGGCACCCTTGCCCCGGACATGGTTATCCCATTCTCCCGACCGAGTGGGTAGGGGGTGCTCGCTTTGGGTGTCCCCCGGGAAAATGTGGGCCTCATGGAGTTCTTCCACAAAGGGTGGTAAACGCCCGTGTGCCAAGTTCTTTTCTAGAGCTGGCAGAGGTTCCAGCCTCCCTTGTAGCTTGCCACGTTGCTTGAAACTGACTGGATTCAGAAGGCCAGAGCTCCAAGCCTCGCCTCTGGAAGGCTTGGCTGCGATCGATGAGAGCTTCTCTCAAGCCTGCATCCCATGCTGGTGCTGCTGGAGCCTCAGATCAGCCACGGGAAGCTTCATCACTGTGGATGTCAACGGTGTTTCCACCCGCCATCTAAAAGACATGCCCTATAAATCCTCAGAAGCCTACAGGTCAGTTGGACCTCATTTGACTGGAGTTGATCATACAAAACCACAAATTCAATGAGGATCATGAGGTCAAGGACCAGGTTTTTAAATGGGTCTTTGGACCTCTATGGACAGGTCAGTGGACAGGTAGTTGGACCCTCCCAACCCACCCCCCACACCGAAAACCATGAGGCGCAGAGCTCACCCCACCCTGAACACCCCGAATGCCGGAGAATGGGTGCGCTCGGACTCCTCCCAAGCCACCTCGTCCCAAGCCACCCCCACGGCCATCCCAGCGGAACGACTCAGCGCCTGTGGAGGCTGTTGCGGAAGTCGCTTGGCCATGCCCAACAACTGCATTGACACCTACATCAAGTTCCTCTGGTGTGAGTGACCCTGGTGGAAGGGTGACACCGAGCGGAGCGAGCGAGGGGACCTGGTTCCGCAGGTCGGGACGCAGTGACCGGAAGAGGTCACGTAGATGTTCCCTTCTTCTCAACTTCGGGAAGACAGAAAGAAGAGTGAGAGAGAGAGAGAGAGAGTAGTCAGTCCCCCCCCAATGCAACCATCACACTCTGAGGAAAACTGGAAGATGATGGCACCACCTAAGCCTTGGTCTTCGGAACATGGTCGTCCGAACTCGGGGCGTGGCCATGCCATCCACGTCAGGGTGGATCTGCTGCCCTAAGATTGTTGGGTTTCTATGGCAGGGGTCGGACCCGACACCTACACGCAGGGTTCCGGACCCGAACCAAGCTCTTTCTCAATTGAAGGCCCGGATTCTTAGGGTGGAACAAAGCATCCGAGCCATCCGAGTGTCCAACCGCACGTCCAGGTACTTCTTCCACACGGGGATCCCCTCGGTGGAAGCGGGGCTTTGCCCGGGCTCCGGCGGTTGCGGGGCGACGGAGTCGTGGTGTTTTGGGGAAGAAGGCGACCCAAAAGCCATCCCTCCAAGCCCAAACGTACTGGTTCCGAGAACAACAGCTGGAAGCTGAAAGCTACGTTGGGGTTGTAGAGGAAAAAGCGGTTTTCCAAAGGTCTAGTCTTCCTGGGTGTATTCCAGAGCTAAAAGGAAGGAGCTGCTGGCTCCTTCAGCGCCCAGATAAGGGAGGTCCCTCCAGAGCTAGAAAGAAGGGGCTGCAACAAGAGAACGCAAGGGCGATGAGCAAGGTCTTCGATTCGTCTTCGTTGCCACATGACTTCTTCCCATGATGACTCTACGGTTGTTTGCCCCCCGCCACAAACAAAAGGACCAAAACACCATGCCCCGAGCTTACATGGACCCAGCCATTCGCTCAAAATGACCCAGCCAGCATTACTCGCTCCAAAGGACCCACACCGTCGCTCGCTCGCTTGGATCTTCCATGCCCGACAGCGCTTGGACTTGTCACTGTTCGTCCCCGTGGTCGTTTGGTCGTGTGAACTGCTGGTCCGAGGCCTACACATGGTGAATTGCTGGTGCTGCTACTCCCTCTGCCTCTTGACATGGAAGAACATAGTATTGGTGGAAGAGAGAGGTCAGAACTTGTTTCTTCGAGCCAAAGCCCCCAACACCCCTAGTTTTGTCGGGTTCCTAATGTATTCCCATATACATGCTCCCTTAATTGTCAACCGGCAAGATCCGGAATATCCAACGGCGGAAGGGCACTTGTTTGGATCCGCTTCTCCCATTCAATTTTAAGACCATCATTTGTCTACAAACATGTTCATCTCAAGGCGTGACACCGCCCCACAGTTTTCTTTTCCCCCAATGTCTGGCACATCCAAGATCTCAAAAGTTCGTTCTCGTGACGAGAAGGACCCCAACACATGGGACACAGCATGGCAACACTTCAGTAACTCAATGATATTCTAAGTGCACTTGGACCTTTGTCATGGCGTTTGTGCTGACCTTTCCAATCTGCCAGGATCACTAGAACGATCTTTGATCCCCGAAAGCTTCATCCGCAAAGGCCCCAGCTGCTCCCAGGCAAGTGCCCACCCACTGTGCGGCACAACCCGCTTTGCGCCTGTTGTGGCCGCCAGCGGATTGAGAAGAGTTGAGGCCCGGCGGGTAGAACTCGCGCGGCCGGGACGAACGCGGTTGAAGCACGAGCAGTGGAAGCACGAGCCGCGCATCGAAGCACTTGGTTCTTTTCTTTCAAATTATATATATATGTATATTTTAGTCGGATTGGCTGTGCTGGTGTTTTTCAATCAAAGCACCCTTTCTCCTTCTCACGGACCGAGACCGGGACCCAGAAGCGCTCGTTGGAGCACATGGAGAACACCGGCTGGGTGGGCATCTTTTGGGGGACAGGGGCCGGCCCCTGGAGCCCCCAAACTCTGACCTTGTTTGGGTTGACTTCGAGCCGTGAAGCTGGTCTAAAATCGTCCATTGACTGTATTAGGTTCCGACCCACATGGATAGAACAGTAGATCCCCACGTTCAGGTATGGGAAAGCGTGGACTCCTCTCTATTTTGGGGACCACTTCTTTTTGGGCTTCGTGGTTTTGGAGGCCAAGAGCACGTCTTGACGTGTTGCGGACCGTGGCTCGAAAGCCCGTCCGTGCTGTTTTCAGGTCAACGTGATGCTGGGACAGGTCAGCTGGTGAGAAGTGAAGCGAACTGTGGGAGGGGAGGAGGACTTGATGAAATTGAATGACATTGACATGTTTTGGACACTGATATGATATGAACATGATATGCATATGCAACGCATCATATGCATATTAATGTTTGATTCATATCAGATCACTTCATATTTTACCCAGAATCACAATCGAAGTGATACGAAGCGACACTTTTCTTGACCTCTCAATCACTGCAACCACTCAAACTATTGACTCTCAAAACAGGGGTTGGAAGGGTTGACAGTAGACCGACAGTATATAGACCTTCGGGGTGTCCATGAGCACCTCACACTGACTGGAGGGTGTTCTTCCGGTGTCAACAACGACCCAAGAGGCCTGGAAAGTGCAGTGCCTGGAATCACATGCAGATGGCACTGACCCCAGGATGCATCGTTCTCCCCCCGCCAATCAACTAGGGATTCTTAGGGCTTAACCCCCTGAGCAAACTTTGTCCCTTGTTTTTGGCTGATGTGAATAGCTACACGGCTGGATGTGCACAAGCCAACCCCGTCCTGCACTTGTAGGAAAGAAACCGCACGTGGCTGCACTGTACTGCAGGCTCTTTGCCGTTCGACAGGTGTAGCCGCTGCAGCCCTTTTTTTGTACAGCTTGCATGAGACCTGGGCAGCCCAGTGAAGTTCAGTCAGGGAGTCTGAGAGTTTTCAGGGGCCAGATCTAGCCACCATGTGACAGTCTACCTAAAGCTCGAAAGGCCCAACATCCAGAACATCCAGAACATTTGTGACGACTAGACAGAGGAGAGGCTCCCTGACTGGAGGGCGCCCAGACGACTTTCCCCAAATAATTATTGGCTCCTTCCGACTTTCACCACCCTTTTCAGAGCACGGTCCCCTCGGTCCCGACGGCAAGGACAGCGGAGCTGCGTAATAAATGGGACACGTCCTTCCGGGTGCTGCGTCGAGGGACGGACGTTCCAAGAAAGAAGACCTCCAGGGCCTGGATCCTGCTGGTCCCTTGCACTTGGACGTGGGTGACATCACGAACACAAACGAAATCCCCCCTTCACCCTCCTCGAAGGGGACGAGCTTCGCGGCGTTTTTTGAGGACGCGAAGAAACAGGAAGATCTGGACCATCCGGAGCATTGGTGTGCTGGAAAAAAGAGGTCCCAGATACTAGTGGCTGGTAGTCCAGCCAGGACACCCAGTCGTGACGGTCCTGGAAGAGACTTAGTCCTTAACTTCTCGGCAGAAACCAAATCCCTTGTTCTGTCAAAAACCAGAGGCCAACAGCCTGAAGGCCCTTGGGCCGGAGGTGGTGGATGGAGCGAATGGCCTTGGGGTGCTTCCCTTGCCCTCCTCCAAGGGGAGCGGCGCGGAGACGAGACATGGTGGGCAAAAGAAAGGGTTCTTTGGCGATGAGTGGGCTGCGCCTGCCGCGGCTGTCACAGCCGTGCTCAAAAGCACCGGAAAGAATTGTCATGTTTCAGTCTCAAACAGACTATGTTTAGTTTGTTATTGTTCCGAAATAGAGACGCACCATCCAGCTCGAAATGACTCGACTTGTTCATCAAGACTTTAATCCTTGGGCGCGTCCAGTGTTGAGTGTGTTGAGGATGCAGGAGTGTAGCTTTGATGAGAGGATCCGGAGCTACTCCGAACACTTATGTGAAAGTTCTTTTTGTTTTGCATCGATGCATTTTGATAGTCCCTTCTGTGCAGTGAGCGCAGAGCTCCTCTCCGCTGCTAGCCATCTGTGTGCCTCAAGCATTTTGCGAGGCACTAGAGGCAGAAGACGACAGGAAAGTAAGAGACTACGGTAGGTGGTTTGAGGTCGGCCCTGGCCCTTAATATAGGCCAAAAAAAGGGCGGTTTGGGCGTCTGGTGGATCTTCAACTCCACAAACTTGCACTGGTTCCATGCAATCAGCAGATTCCAGATTTGTCACGATCCAGTGTTGCTGTTTGGTTACGTTGTGTTCAAACACGTTACCGCTCCTTTTGGCCAGCCATGCAGTCCAGCGCTAGCTGCCCGGTGTTGCCACCGGTGCCGGCGCAGGTGAGAGCTGCACAGCAGCGGGGGCAAAGGGAAGCTGCCAAACGAAAGGAGTGGCTTGGTTTGGAAGATGAGGGATATTCGAGCCCTGGGGTCCCTGCATTGAAGCCAGAGGTCCGTTCTCCTCAGAGCTGCGGATGCTGGGGGAAGCTTTGAATCCTAGGGCTTTGAAGCTCTTCATCCTAGGGCTGAGACGTGAAGTTGTTCGATTTCGGAGAATTCTCGACTGGCGACTCTGGGTGAACTCAGATTCCATTCTCCTCTACAATCTTCTTCCCCCAAACAGCTGGGTGGTTCACCCCCGGATACAGATGCAGGCCGACCGGGTGCAGACAAAGGAGGGTTTCAGGCCCCGGACCGTCGCCGTCTCAAAGCTCGCTGACCAAGAACACGATCCGAGCATAGCTGAGAGGAGTTCTGGGCCATTCTGGGCCCCATCCCACAGGCCCGCAGGTGCACCTCGACTTCGACCCTTCGACCCATCAACCAGTCGACCCTTCGACCCCAGTCGACCCAGACAGCGAAGCCCTGAGGTTCCTTGGGGGTCTGATCAATCAGGATCCGAGCGTGGCGCCTGCTGGGACCGTTGGGACGTTGGCACGAAGAACGCGCGGTCGTAGGGAACAAGGGCACCGGCACTGGAACATTCGTGTCAGTGAACCTCTGTGGACTCCGAAGTTCTTTACAATCCGGAGTGGGAACTGGATGATGATGATGATGATGATGACGATGATGGATGTTATATTGATGTTATCAAAGTTGTAAAGGCTGAAGTCAATGTTTGTGAATGATCAATACTTTCTCAGAAGGTAGTTGGAACCCAAACACCTTCTCAGGAGGGAGATGGAGCCAGGGATGGTAGATGTTTGGGCTAAAGACACCCGCTCCACTTTGGCTTTGGCGCCTTTTTTGTTTCGTGCTCCACCGCACAGGACCTACAGAAGCTGACCCATTGGCATGGCATGCGCCCCACGCACGAGCAAAAGCGCTTCTTGCGAGCCTGGGCGTTGCTGGTGGGGTAAGAACCCTGAACAAGGTAATCGTCGTTCAGAAAGAATCTTTCCCGTGTATGCTTTTTGCGATGTGCCAGCCCCACACGGTGGAAGGAGGGAGGCGACCTTGTGAGGTTTTTTTTTTCGCTATCGGGAATTGGTGGTTCATGAACTCTGCGGTGGCTCATTTTTTTGGTGGATCTCATGCGGATGCTTCATTAGATGCGCGGTAGTTCATCATGGGTGGCATCATGGGTGGCATCATGGCATCTGTGAGTGTGTTCGAAGGTAAATCTTTGCTCCAAGCGATGAATAAAACCTATCTCCAGGCCCTGGGTGTCTTGATTCATCCGTCTACACGACTTTCCTCCGCAGCGAGGAAGTTTGGACTGCCTCTACAAAGCTTATGATTCAGCCTCAGCACCTCAGGTGGGGTGGCAAACTGGAACGAAGGGGTTCCAGCTTTCTCAGCTTTCTGGTGGTGGACTTAAGAGGTTCTTTTTCAGGGTGTTCCTTCTGCGCATTTTCCTTTGCAACCTGTCCGTCCTGTTGGCAAGAGATGCGGTTTATGATGTCTTATGCGACGTCACGGAACGATCGTTGTTGTAGTTCCCGCCTTTGTGATCCGTCACCGTCCAGCCTTTCAGAACACGTCGCAGCAAGATCACCGTCTCACAGGGTGCGACCGTACCCTTTTCCAAGCAGTTGGCACACGTGGTCGAATCAAAGGGGACGTCTCCAGATATTCCATTTATTCGAGCAAAGGCGACCCAAAGCGATACGCAGAATGAGTGTCTACCATCCAAAGTCTTTTATTTGGCTTGGTAGGTGAAGAATGGTGAAGACTTGGATTCTTTCGTTCATGGGTGTTGTCTCCAAAGCACCCTGCCAGGGCCCCTGATCAGGTAACAGATGGTTGTGACGTGCTTCAGTTTGCAACGTCGGTGACTTGTGCTCCACCCGAAGATCAACTGGATGATCATTGGCGTAACCACTTCACTGGCAGGCACCTCCACGTCGGCCGACGGAAGGGGAGAAGCTGCAGCAGGCAGCTTTGGAGGCAGAACATGCCAAGAAGGTTGAGGAGGCCCGGCCTTTTCGCGAAATCGGGGCAGGTGGCTGTGGTTTCCATGCCTCAGCAGGTATAGACCTGCCTTACATAGACCTAAGAGGTGGGTGGAAGCCCTTCAGATCCCTTGCGAAACCATTGTTGGGTCGTCCGGGCTGAAAGAACACCTGCAGAACTCGCTTTTGGCTTTTGGCTTCTACAGGCACGATCCTAGATGAAAGGATCTACATCCAATCTTTCCTGGGAGATATTCACTTCTAATGATCTAATCTTCTTCATTCTCCAGCCAGGGACGATTCCAGACGCTGAAAGCGCGTCTATTTCTATTTTTTGAACGACAACTTTGAGAGGGAATGCGTCAGAATTCTCTATCTTTTCGTTTTGAATGCAGGTCCAGGTAGGAAGACACCTGTGAATTCACATGTCGACGATGGATCACAACTGCCCCTTGATTCGCAATACGCTCTCACAGGTATACGCTCAGATGAACGGAAGACGCTCAGACACCCTGAAAGCTTGACCTGCCGTTTCCGTTTGAGGGACGTTTGGTGTCCCCCCCAACTTCAGCACCGCACCTCCTTTGTGGTGCTCGTGCTGCGCCCCCCGTGAAGGCCTCTGGGTGGTCAATCTGCCATGACCGAAACTGGGTGTTGTGTTCTAAATAGGGAGAGACCCCCTAGCCCAATGATGCCCTATGGGTCTATTTCCCTTCTTCCAGGGAGGTTTCCCTTTTTGAGCTACATATCCCATCTCTCCAGCATTCCACTTCCCAATGCCACCACGCGAAAAGAGAGGCCATGCAGCGCCGCGCAGAGGAGGACCCGCTTGCAGGCGCCATGCTGGGAATGGGCGTGGCCGTCACTACTGCTCCAATGAATTGGTGTGGCAAGAATTTCGGGCGGTTCAATGTTCTAAATCTAAATTACCAAAAGTACATTGTGCCAGCACCGTGGGTTCCAAATCTGCGCTGCACCGATATTCCCCAAAAGTAGCTTGATCGCCTTTTTAAAAATTGAACATGTAATCCTGTTGTGCACCCTTCAACAGTCAAGAGCCAGCTATCCCAGAAACAGCTCGACAAGAAATGAGAAAGGACTAGAACCACAATCCTCCACGACCAACTGACGTCCTTTACAAAATGACTTTTGCACACCTCTACATTCATAAACACGTATTGTGTTGGAAGCTGGAAGCTTGCAAAACACGGAGCGAGCCTGTGGAGAGGTCAATTCACCAAACACTTCGGCTACAAACATGTAGGATGTAGCTGACTCAAGCTTGGACGTCATGATGAGTGGTTCTGCCTTTCTTTTGAACGCATGTGTTGATCAATGAAGACCATCAAGTCGTGAGAAAACCAATTTTGTACAAACCCAGACCCAGACCTTGTGAGCGCCTCTCACGAAGGTTTTTCGTATTTTCCCATGCACCAGGAACCATCAAAAGCTCTGGAAACTACACCGGCATAGACCCCGGATAGGAACTAAAGTTTTAAAGACAAAAAGTATGTGGGACAAACATCCATCGAGTAGCCAAATAAAACCAGAAAAGCGGGGAGACAAGTCAGGAGACGTAGCAGTGGCAAACAAAACCAGTGGAGAGACAAGTTGGGGAACAAGTAAGGAGTCAGGAGACAAGGCGGCATCAGCAGCAGACATTAAAAAGCCAACCAGACAGGCAGACAAGTGTGGAGACAGGGCCAAGGAGACTGCGACAGACATCTAAGCCGATCAGCCAGACAAACAAGTGCAGAAACAAGTAAGGAGACAGGTAGACAAGTAAGGGAACGCAAGTGAGGACATTTGGGGAGACAAGTAAGGAGACAAGGCAACAGGGGCAGACAAAACGACGATCACTCAGGCAACCAACTGGGGAGACATTTGAGGAGACCAGTGGGGAGACAAGGCAGAAGTGGCGACGGGATACAGGCGCCCAGTCATTGAGGAGTCAGAAACCCCATATCTTTCAGCTGATTGGGGAATATCTGGGGAGACCTGTAAGGAGACAAGTCAGCGGCACAGTAGCGAACTCTCCTCAAGGTCCTCAAGGGAGATGAACCACAACACAGATGGATCAGCATGTTCTAGCTGTGTAGAGTCATTGACTACAAGACCACGGAGCGCATTGATAGGTCATCGCAAGGGAATTCAGGTCTTTTGGTCGGTTTAATCCAGGGTCCCCATCCAACCGGGGTGTCCAATAAGGGGTGATCTCGGGTGATTACCATGAAGCACCCAGCCGTGGCATCTTGCTCCGGTGCTGAAACGAGCCACCGCCACTTTGGGCCGTCTCAGGACCACCTCGCAGCCCGCGCAGTGGGGTGCAAGGTGCCACTGAGGATCTGCCGAAGGAGCCCATTGAGGTGCGAGTACACAGGGGACCGGCGCAGGACCTAGACAGGCAAGCGAGTATGTGGAAGATCGATCTGTAGGTCCCAAAAAAGCTGGAGTCGCCAAGGGAGGGGTAGGTATAGGGGAGTTTTCTCTTTCAATTTGGGAGGAAGAACCCAGCTGTGATCGGCCGGCGTGTTTCCATCTGGAAAAAGACCAACAAGACCAAGTCCATTCATGTGCATTCACTTGGGACACTTGACTCACGCTTTGTTGGCCAGGTCTTCGAGCAAAAGAAGCGCCAGAAGCTGCGGAAGAAATTGGACCCCACAGCGGAGGATCCTAATAGCCTGCTGGAGTGGTTGGAAGGCCTGCAGTGACAAGGCTTACAAAGGATCACCTCCCATGAACCACTGCAAAGCTATCACAGTCATGGAGTAGAGGAACATACTTTTCCAATCCAGGTGTGGGCTACTTGCATGCAGATGTTGCAGTTGCCAGGTCAAAGCCTGACCTCTCATAGCACGGCCACAACGGCGAGCAGCCAGCGAACGCGCTTTACAGATCTCAGTATGACCTCCTTAGCTTCCTCAATTTGCAGCCATCCCGGCACCTTAGTCCACGCGCCTTGGATTCTGAGTTTGATGGGTTCGGTACAGGATCCAGAAGGATGCAGGTCGGATGACTGAATGGCCAGAATATATTCTATTATTATAAGTTGAAACCACTATTTGTTTGAATGTTCCTAGAACATCCAATGATTGTCCTGGCTGGAGATCCCTGTAAACAGTAGATATAGTAGGGTATATATAGATCCATTGGACACCCTTTGGATGGTCCTGGTGGATTTTCTGGATGCTTTGGATTTCAGGTGGCCGGATCTGGTGGTCAAGCCCTTCCTTTCCCGACTCCGACGGATTCTCCCGGAGTGGAGTTGTCTGAATTGCCGCTACGACACCCTAAAACTGGTTTGTTTCTTCACCGTGTCGGACTCACGGATTCCTCAGTCCCCGATGTAGCGGGGATCATGCCAGTGCCACCCGTCGACCGGATGAGCGGCAGAAGGGGGGCGTCCTGAGGAGAGTTATCGACCCCACAAGCGCGCCTATGCGGTGAACATCAACGACTGGAAGCCCGTGAACCAGCACGAAGCAGGAGTGTCAGATCGTCAGCCGCTTGGCGTGTCGGTCAAGTAGCAAGTAGGTAGGCTCAGGAGTACATGTGGAACCTTCTGGACATCTAAACAGTAGAACGGATTGCTCCCAACTCAACCAGTCAAGTCTGTTTTTGAACCTTTGGACCCCACATGAACAGAATCAAGTGCATAGCATCTAGCTCAGGATTTTCCCTAAACATGGATTAGACCCCTTCGCAGCCGAATTTCATCCCCACACCTCCCCGCACCTCGACACCCTCGGTTTCCCCTGCCTTTTGTGCAGACTTCTGTAACGTGTCCATTCAATTGTTAAAACTTTGAGAGACTGAGGTGTTCAACGTACGATTCAGTCACCAATTTCTCCCTACGCAAAGGGTCAGCTTCCCTTCACTGCCAATTTTGGATGCCGAAGGACTCGAAGGGAAGGACATGTGCTGCATCCGTTTTGGGCATGCTTTTGGGATCGAAGACGGCACCTGTCGTTCCATTATCTTCTGTTCACCCCCGGTGTCTTCAGACGCAGCGGTTGCTGAAGACGCAGCGTCGTTCAAAAGACCCTGAGATGAACAACTCCCGACCTCGCTCGACCGAAGGTCGCTCTCTCTCTCTCTCTCGCTCTCTGCCTCCCGCTTGGAGCGACTTCCGTTCCGGCCGGCTTTGTGGGCTCCGGTGGTTGGAACCGACCGCCTCTCCTTGCTCCGTCACGACTGGTTGGTGTTCGGCCGGGCCGGGAGGAGCCATGAAGGATGGCATTCCCAGCCTGGGATGGCCAGATGGCGAACGGATGGTCACCAGCTTCCAGGACCGTCAAACGCTTGCGGAGAAGCGGAGAAGTGACTCCAGTCCATGGGGATGGGAAGAAGAATGGCTCATGAGGTGAGGGCAGCCTGAGACCTGCAGGGAAATCTACCAAGCAACGTCCAGTGGTGAAGAGGGGAGTAGTACTGACAGTACTGAGAGTACCGGTTGTTGTTGCTGGTGGATTCATGGACTTCGAAACACTCGATCCTTGCCCATGGTGGGCTCACAAGTCATGATTCAATATTGATTCAAAAAGACTAGTGGCAGGCCCTTGGAATCATCTCCCAGTCTGGGGGTTGTTGACCATTTTCTTGAAGCTTCCGATCGGGTGGCTTGGTGATGCCAGCAGATGCCCCACAGGAGCAATTCGGCACGGCTTCGGCGGGGGTGCGGAACATCAGCAAGAAGATGTACGAGAAGGCACTGTGCTTTGGTAGACAGCAACGTGGGGTTTGCGAGACAGGTCTTGTGCGTGGTGTACATTTACTGTACCGGACGGATGCCGGGCTGATACAACGCGTTGGCATTGCCAGGTCTTGCGCCCCGAGCAGCATGCCTTCATCAGCAGGCGGAGCTGGGATAGAAGATGAACAGCTCTCAAGCAGGCGACTTCTCATTAACCTCCCATCTCTAAAGAGCAAACTCGTTGTGTCGCTTTCTGTAGATCGTCCTCTGCCCACTCGGGAACAGGAACTCATTTCGACTGAGTGCGCAGATGTGGTTTTAGAAATTTGTCGCTTGTCAATGGATCTAAACTGATCCCATAACAACCCCATTGTAACCTGGACTGATCTAAATGGATCTAAACTGACAAACATCACTTACCTGGACCATCACCCTTACCCCCTCATGTGGCTTCCCGTCCATCGGTCCATGGATTCCGTGGTACCATCTCCAGGTTCCTCAGCGAGGCACCCGTGGAGCAGCGCGAGCAATTCACCGGCTTGGCCTGGGGCGCTCAGCGATGGACCATGGCACCGTTTTGGAAGAGAGGCCTACAACTAAGAAGGCTGAAATCCCATGAACTCCCAAGGTCACCTCGCTTTTTATTATGGAGTGTCTGGTGAGTGATCCCTTGCCACCTAGAGTGGTTCAGTTTCAGGGGATATGAAGGGTGGAGACACCGAAAGAAACATGGAAACTGCCATCAGAGCTAGCTTGGATGAAGTTCCTTTGCCAGATGTGGTCCACCACTTGATATGTATGCTCTTCCTGGAGTTGTATCCATCAAACCAATCCGAAACCGGTCTTTCTTTTTCGAAGCACTTCGAACCTCCCATGGCCCTTGCGGTCTTGGTGCGGCCTCCCCTAACAACTTCGGCCTCCTTCGGTCTAGGTGCGGTCCTTGGAGTATTTGCGCCTGCAAAAGCACAGGCCCCGCGACTGGCGAGCGCGAGACACGGGGTCACCGGGGTCGTTTTGGACCGACTCGGGGGTCGTTTGGTCGTGTAAATGGGAGCGTTTTGGGAGGGTGAAACTTTGTGGAATGGCCAGAAGACATGGATCTTGCCTCGTTTTTTGGGCAAGATCCATGTCAATGGATTGCACTTGAAGGAATGAGGCAGGTTAATGCAGGTCATGCAGGATCATGCAGGTTTTCTCAAGCATATCAGCATGTGGAACATCTGGGTGCCAAAGTTGCCACATCCGCCCACGTCCTGGCATAAGAATAGCGTGAAGATCACGGGTCGATGAAAGGAGGCTTCTTCTTCCGCCTGATCTTATGTTCAACCTGGAGGGTCTGCATGGGTTGCAGGGGGTTCTCACCAGATCTTTTCTTAGTTGTAGTAGAGTAGTCACAGCGCCAATCTAATTATTATACAACAAAAATACCATGTCCAAAGAAAGCGATGCAAGCCCATGTCAAGTGGAACGGGCTTTTCTGGGCTGGACAAAAGTTTGTCTGACATTTGGATGGGTCCCACATGCAAAAAGTTCGGGGAGAAAGCAGCTCTTACAAGCGAGGCTTGGAGAGCTTACAGGACCCTATAGAGAGGAATTTATGGACATATGGCCAAAGGTTCCCCAAACAGTGTGGGCACACTGAGGGGTTCTTACGGTAGGTGAAAAGCAGGTGTGCTTAGTTCGCTGTGCATCGCGGCGTGTCCGGCTAATTCGTTGCTATTTACAGTACATTCATGCCTCGCGACATCGTCCATGTGCACTTCGACTGCGCAGGCTCACGAAGTCTGGGGGCCGGCGGCGGGTGCTTCTAGCGACTGCGCTCTCGTTGTGGTGCCGTGCGCGTTTTGGTACATGGTGGTCACTTTTCGTGGCAGGTGCAAGGGAAAGGTGCAAGGGATCGGAGCTGTTTTACTTCGAAATGCAGTTTTCGTGGATGTTGGTGATCGTCGAGGAGCTCAGATTTCGTGACAGGTGCAGGGAGTCGTGACTTTTGGATTGTGGCTCGTTTGCAGATTTTGTGGCAGGCACAGCGCATGGTGAACCTCGAAGTGCAGATTTCGTGGCAGGCACAGCACTTGGTGAACGAAGTGCAGATTTCGTGGCAGGCACAGCACCTTGTGAACCTCGAAGTGCAGATTTCATGGCAGGCACAGCGCATGGTGAACCTCGAAGTGCAGATTTCGTGGCAGGCACAGCACCTTGTGAACCTCGAAGTGGAGATTTCGTGGCAGGCACAGCGCATGGCGAACCTCGAAGTGGAGATTTCGTGGCAGGCACAGCACTTTGTGAACCTCGATGTGCAGGTTTTGTGGCAGGCACAGCACTTTGTGAACCTCGAAGTGCAGATTTCGTGGCAGTCACAGCACTTTGTGAACCTCGAAGTGCACATTTCGTGGCAGGCACAGCACTTGGTGAACCTCGAAGTGGAGATTTCGTGGCAGGCACAGCACTTGGTGAACCTCGAA